GGAAGTTTAACACCTCCTAATAAATCCTGTGGCTTTTTAGAGTAATTCCTCTTGAACTCTAACATTTTTGTAAGTCCTGGATGTAGAATACCTGTTTCATAGGACTGTTCTGCTACAGCCTGGCTTGCTTAGTAGTGGTTTTTTTTGTTTTTTTTTATGGTGCACTGATTATCCATGGTGCTATCCCCTGGCATCTCCCCCAGTAACTTTTTCCCCACCTCAGAGACTAAATCCTGCTTTATGATGTCAATGATTCTCAGTGAGATAATTGATGATCTTATAGGATAGAGTTTGGCCTCAGGAGATACTGCTTTTTCAAGTTCAGCTGGGCGGAGCAGCTCAGGTGTTGATGAGGAATGGCTCCACACCCACCAGAATTACCCTCAGAGGCCCAGGAATGTTGTCTGTGTTTGTGCAACTCCTTGTGCTCAAGACACACTACACTAGGCCACCCTAGCAGAAACCAAGAAGATAAATGAAACAGCTCACTCCTGCTTTGCCTTGGGGAAGCCAAGATGCTTCAGCAGCTTCTGTTTCCTCACTGAGGACTTGGGAGGTAATTAAGGATCCTTGAGTTCAGACCTCCTGCATTGTGTGGGTAACACTGCAGTCATTGTGATGGAGATGATGAGAGCAGTGAGGGGTCTGTGTCAGGCATCTGGAGCTTCCAGGTACTGGTCACCTGTGGTGAGCATGGGAGTCAGGGCGAGTTAGGATTGTCCAGGATGCCCAGTTTTGGGGTTGTGACTCTGCAGTGGGAGGTGGAGTCATTTGATGAACCAGTTGTCCTCCTTCTGACCCCCCAAATGGAGCTGTGCAGCTCAGTGTGTGGAGTGGTGGGGTGTGTGGGCACTGTTCCTCTCCTCTCCAGCATCTCAGGAATAGCAAAGTCGTGTTGTAGTCATGTGCTGGGAAGTAAAGACTCTTGTTTTACTTTTTTGGCATAAAGCATTGAAATAGGTTGTTTATACAGGTATGGTGCTGGATAATCTCTGGTTTCTGCTAGTGGAAATAAAGCAGGCTAACATTGTTTTAGCTTATGTGACCCACCACACTGACTAATTCTTGCTGCTGTTTCCCTCTTTGCAGGACAGAAAGGGGTTGGGATTTTTCTAGTGCCAAACCATGCAATTCAGGCAGACTTTCTGTCTGTCACAGCAGCAGTCCTTCTCTTGTGTCCAAACAGTGTTTGATAAGACCAAACTTAATTTATATATTGAAGTTTTAATGGAGTGTCCTCTTTGAAGAAAACTGTTTAGAGTCTTTCCAGCGATTGAATCTCTGGAGATAGTGGCCAGGCACTCCTGCAGTCTGCCAGCCCTTGATTTCCAGCACAACGTTTGGGGGAGGCTGTTGCAGAGCTGTTCAAGTGCCCAGGAGTCTGTTCGCTACCTTGAAGCATTCAGAACTTCACCAGTGATGGTATTTTATCTCTTCAATGCAGTAATACAGCAGAGCTAAGAAAAGACTGCATAACTGAGTGTCAGGAGAAGCTTCTTTTCCTTCATTTCTTCTGGATACAAATTAAGCAGTGTAAATTTGTCTTCTCAAGTGATAAAGGACCTGTGATATTTTAAATTCACAGCTTGAAGAATTTTAACAGAAAGCAAATACTTCAGCAGCATGATCTCTGAAAGAGGAATTCTTCACATTGACTTTCCTCATTTTGTTCTTTTTTTCACTTTGTTATAGTGATCATTTACAGGTTTGAATCTGCTTCTATGGGAGCAGGAAAGAGTATTGAAAACCACCTTCTGCTTCTTTTTCTGGTTCATTTAAGTACAGTTTCTTCAGTCAATTAAAGTATATGATGTTTTCTGTAGTCAGCCGTGCTCCCCAGGCCTCAACTCAATCACTTGCCTTTCATGGCTATGAGGAAGGCAGGGAAAAATAGCAGAGCAGGGCTGTGATGCTGGGTATAGTACAGTTGTGCTGAGCATGAGGTCTACAGATTTGGCTACACTTGGCAGGAGCTAATCCTGCTCCTGACATATTTGCTGTGCAGAGCTGTGGCCTCTGACCCTTGCCAGGACTCTCTTGTTCAAGTGCAGCTTGATCTGTGGTCTCTGCCCTGGCTCTCCCTGCTCAGGGGCTAAGGAGAGAGGCTGTAAGGTTGCACTGCAGTTAGCCACGCTTCGTGCAACGCACCTTCCCCGGCAGCAGTTCTGCTCCATCAGCAAAGCCCTCCCATTCTGCAAGCTGTCAAGTGGCAGCTTGATGTTAGCATCTCTTTTGCAACACAGAAACTCCAGGGTAACTCAGATCCTGGATCTATATGTTTTAGTATAACAAGCCAAAAGGAATAATGCAGTTCTTCCTGTATAATCTTTATTGTCCCAACTTGAATAAGAACAAAACACCAGATTTACTGAATAATGTTCAAAGGCATCATTCCTAAAGGGTTTAAAAGTCAAAACTGCCTAATACATGTGAAATATATTTTGCCTTTTTCTATTTTTTCTGCAAGTTTTATCATTAATAACAAAATAATTAATTAAACAAAATACCATTTTAGTTATTGACTTGATTTATTTCTAATACCTACATTCCAGGCCTCAGAACTGCAGTGCTCATCCTCTCACCCTGTGCTTTTATTCACAAGATGAAAATTAGAAAGCAGGCTGCCTCTGTAGCTTTTTGTTTTGGTTCTTATTTCTTCAACTCTTGGTTGGTTTCAGCTTAGAATGAATTATTCAGCGAACCAAAAATACTTAAATAAACTGTCAAGAAAGATACATTATCTGTATTTGCAGAAGAGAGTAGTGCTGTCAGAATCAGTTTTAGTACTTTGTATTCTGGGTGCTTAGCCACTATCTTCCATTTAACTTATTACTAATAAATCACTTGAGGTACTTGAATTGTTTTGAAACTTTAACAAGAAGCACGTATTATTTCAATTATCCAGTGTAAGTAAAACAGTATTAATTTTATATTGTTTTTATTTTGAGTTTAAATAGGCCTATTGGAGACAGATTAATTCAAATGCAATAGCATAGTTTAAAAATACAGTGTTTTCTTAATTGACCCTTACTCACCTGTAGTTGGACAAGAGGCACCCTGGAGAGCCAAGTTCCATCTAGTTCTTAGGTCACAGACAGCTGGAGCTTGTGCAGAGGCTAGAGAACCCTAACATTCATGGAATCACAGAATCCTTTAGATTCGAAAACATCTCTAATGTTATCAAGTCCAACCGTTTACCCAGCACTGCCAAGTCCACCACTAAACCATGTTTTTGAGTGCCACATGTAGAAGTCTTTCAAACACCACTGCTTCCCTGGCCATCCTCATCCAATGCTTGACAGCTCTTTCGTTTAGGAAATTTGTATTAATATCTAATTTTCACCTCCTCTGGGGCAGCTTGAGGCCATTTCCTGTCATCTTTTCATTTGTTACCTGGGACAAGGGACAACCCCCAACCTCACTACAACCTGCTTCTAAATATGGTCCCCCCTGAGGCTCCTTTTCTCCAGCCTAAACACCCCCAGCTCCCTCAGCTGCTCCCCACAGCACTTGTGCCCCAGAGCCTTCCCCAGCTCCGCTGCCCTTCTCTGGACACGCTCCAGCCCCTCAATGTCTTTCTTGCACTGAGGGGCCCAGAGCTGAGCACAGCATTTGAGGTGTGGCCTCAGCAGTGCCGAGTCCAGGGGGACGGTCACTGCCCTGCTCCTGCTGGCCACACCACTGCTGATCCAGGCCAGGATGCCATCGGCCTTCTTGGACACCTGGGCACTGCTGGATCACGTTCAGCTGCTGTTAACTAACACTATCAGGTTCTTTCCTGCTAGACAGATTTCTAGTGACTTCCCAGTTCAATTTATAGTGATTCCTTTTTCTTTTTTTTTTTAATCTGTTAGTGTTTTTTATTTAGATCTGTCTTCATTGTAGCCTTTCCTGTCCTTTATGAGGCTTTAAAATTGTTCTGTTTCTGTGAACATATATCAACTCCTGCTCACTTTTTATTATGATACATAAAAACTGTTCTTAAAGTGTATGTATTGTACAAAGCAATCTGCATGGTAGCGCTCATTCAGGGTACCATTTTAGCCTTTCTTCTTCATTTCCATTCATGGAAAACAGAGGTTCTGAATCTTGCAGTCTACAGTTTAGATGAAGCACATCTTCTTCCAGTTTCTGTTCTTTTCCTTTTGTATTGTGTGTCATTCTTTCTTCTGCAATAATTTGCTGGGAATCCCAGATGTTCATCAGGAATGGTTGTGTTGTCAGAGTCCCTGCAAAACAGCCGAGCTGGGAAAACAATAGTTGAATAAATTTAATGGATTGAGCAAACATTTAATAAGGACCAGGGGAGCAGAGGAGTGAGGCTGCAAGGAACATCTGAAGTAGTGCATTTCCCCTCTGTCTCTCTTCTCCATCACTTTGCTTGGCATGAAAGAGCTGAAGCCAGCTGCCTTCTAACATTTGAACACAGCAAATTATAGCAGATGATTCTTGTCCCAGACAGTCTGTGTATGGTCTCCTGCCAGCATAGAAGTGCCACAAACACACTGCAGTAGGTCTAGAAGAGCAATCCTGTGACACAGAAACAGCTTGGTAGCTTGTCACATAGACCATAGAGCCCACTGTGAAATCCAGATAGCTCCTGTTCACTGCTACAGAAATTCCTGACCTCATCTGAAGCTGTGATTACCTTGAACTGATGCAGACCACTTCTGTTTTAGTATTTAGTATTATTCAGTATTATTATTATTATTTAGTATTATTTTGGAAACCATTCCTTGCAATTCTCTTATTCTTGTGTAGGAAAGAAGGTAACTGAAAAGTTAAGCTTAGTCTAGTGGGAATTTATCTTCCAGTTTTTTTCCATGTAGAAGTAAATGCCTTCTTTTCCAAGGTGTATGGAGGTTGAGCTCCTTTCCAAGACAGCCTCTCTTGTCCAGCTACAGAAAAAGCCTTGAGGTGACAGAGATACCTTGGATTTTGATGACTGTACTTGGGTGAGCCCCACCTTGGGTTAACATAGCATTTATTTTCTACTTCTTAGAGGAAGAGAGGAAAGAAAATTACCTGTGTGGGTTCAAACTGGTAAGTATCTTGGACTCAAAGCAGGAAGAGGGCAGGAGTGATCCCCCCGGGAGACTTCTGGGACAGGGAAAGTTGTGTGACATAAAGAAGCCAGTTCAATCTTTCTGTTCAGAAAGCATCAGCAACCAAGTAAGTGTCAGCTTTGCTTTCTTTTTCTGGAATTTGTTACTTAGAAATCCTGGATCTTTGTAAAAAACCTGCATTCCTCTTTATCAATGTTAATTTCATTGTGGCTTTTCTTGTTGAGAAACTGTATTGATGATCTTTCCTAACATATGAGCAAAGAATGTCCAAAATATCTGTTTCAAATCTTGTTTAATGGCAGAACTGCCAGCTTTCTCATTGGGGTTGCTCTGAAAGCTCCAGCCTTTCCACCTCTGTCATAGGTCCCAGCTGTCACGCCTGCTGCCGAGGTCTCTGCTGGGGTCTGTGCCAGACCTGAGCCGTGCTGGGGGCTGGCAGCCTCTGCTCTGACCTGCAGCCAATCTCTGCCTCCAGACTCGAGCCCAGGGACACCAAGAATGAGGAGAGCCGAGCTTAAGGGCAGGCAGTGAATTTTCTTTGGCCTGAAGGAAACTTTTGGAGGTATTTTTTTTTTACAGGCAACATACCATTTGCACATTTCAGTCCCCAGATGATGCCATATAGTTGCAGTGAGTGAAACCGCAGAAATGGCCAGAGTTAGGAGAAGCCTGTCAAAGGCAAAACAGTATCAAATTGTGGTACTTTGCCAAAATGTGTTATGCCCAGATTGTATCTAAGTCAATATAAAAGATAAAAGTGGGGGTCAGGGACAAGGTCAGGCATCAGGCTGGAGGTTCACTTTAGCTAAGAGGCAGAAATTACAGCCTGCCAATAAGCAGAAAGGATTTGCCAGACAATTTAAAGGCTTTATGAACAACCATGGCTTGGTCTCAGAGGAATGTGTGTTACAACTGTTTATTTTTATATTCATGAGATGAGAGATTCTTCAGTCTTGGTGAGTAACTGGAGTGAATAGTGTGTCTTGGGTTTCCCTTCTTGCTTACATATATAGAGCTAAACAGCCCAGTAAACAGTATATTGTCAGATATGAGAAAGTTGGCACTGGTGAAAGGCACTTTCCAGTCCTCTAATAAACTAGTCATAGGGCTCTCACAGCCTCAGACACGGAATGGCTGAGCTACTCTTGTAGCTATCTTTTGCATTTGGGATCAAAGAAGTGACCTGCATTTGTATGAACAACTCCTGGTGGAAGGAGTGATCTCACTGTGGCCTCACAGTGACCTCACTGACATGATGTGAATTAAGGCTGTTTGGAGGGAACAACACAAGGAACTGAAGGATTGTGTTGGTGCCATTGACATCCATTACCTATGCTCCAAAAAAATTGGTGTCAGTAGCACAGTGAATCAGGGGGCATGGTCCATTGTTCAGTTATATATTAGCATATAAGAGGGGAAGACAGATTGCAAAGAGGACAGATGGTAAAATAATTTTGGATGATCAGGGAATGATGAAGCCTACTTGGGGTGTAAGGGTTGTTTTTTTAAAGGTCATACACACCTTTTTATTGAGTGTCTGTTGTAGCCCACCTCTTTCTATGGCTTCCCTTAAGTTGTTACGAAGCTGTGCAGAGCAGCCACTGTTTCTGAGAAGTCAGAGCTGTAAATACCCCGGAGTAGGGCTGGTCCTTGTCCCAGGAAGTGTAGCACAGTGACTGTCCTGAGCCTTCCTTCCACCAGCCAGTCCCTGGTGACTGCTGTGCTCTGACATTCCCTTGTGACAAGTGCCAGATCTCCTTCCTGGTCAGACTGGTATCCATCTGGTTGGGGGATTTTAAAATTACACGTCAGACCTAGGGAAGGCTTCATCAGTCTTTCTCCACAGTCGATGGAAAGAGCTATCCACCTCTGTAAGAGGGTCCATCCAGTCCTAGCATCAGTATCTCTGGTGGGTGGTGTGAACCATCCATCCAATGTGTATTTCTGGTGCTCTGGTGACAGCAAAGGCAGCTTCAGCTTGATTTCACAGGACTGAGGTTTAGCCTTTATTCTCTTTGAGATGACAAGAATAAAGCTGGGTTCTGGCAAGGGCATAAGAGTATGGTTGTGTGGGTGGTGTAGAGCAGTGATTTAGATACTGCCTTGCATGGAAAGAAAACAAAGAACAGTCATATTTAAAACTTGCTGATTTCAGAGGTAGAGATACAGGTTTCCTCTGCATTTCACCAAGTGCAAAGTGAATCAATTTAAAATATATTCAGTTTTATTTATTTTTCTTTTAATAAGAATTTAATTGTTTAAGGAATTAAATGCTTAAATGCTTTTATTTTTAATTTAGTCTTTTAACAGGAATAGGTAGAGATATTATCATTAAGTTTTATTTGCTTCAAGGTTTTTTTGATCCCATTTTCAAACAGGAAATACTCCTAAGTTCCTTACCATTTTTGTACTAAAATTTAGTACTACTTTAATGGTTAGCTGCAATCAAGAAGAAATTGCACCTACTGTGCAAGAATTGTTATTCCGAAGCAAAAGACCAGGGTACTTAACACCTTTTGACAAAGCTGATTTAGACACAGGGTAGTAAAAGCTGACTCTCTTATTGGAGTCTGAAATTGTACAGCTGCATGTAAAAATGTGTGTTAGAATTGTGTCATTGCCTCAGGCAGAGGCATCCCCCTGCTTGGTGACCGATGAATGTCATCTCTGCCTGCCACGTCCTGTCCTTCAGCCCCATAAATGCACTGCTCAAACACAGTGAATTTTCAAAAGTATTGTGATTGTACAAAAAGAACAAATGTTTGAAATATTTGAAATATTTGACTTATATTATAGTGGGAATAACTGTGTGTTATAACTGAGAGTCTGCCAGTGTCTCCTCTCCAAGAGTGTTCTGCTTTACATTCCCAAACATATGCCAGACTTCACTGCTTTACATTCCCAAACATATGCCAGACTTCAGTCACAATACATTTTTATTTTATCCTCAACATAACCATGCTATTTAAATATATACTTTTTTTTTTTTTTTTAATGGCCTGGCTTTTGCCATAGTTTTTGACACTCCATGCAAATTACCCCTAATTTATTTAGGCATTAGAAATTACCCCTAATTTATTTAGGCATTAGACTGTAACTGAGGTGAGGCCTTTGTATCTTCTCTTTTATCAAAAGAAATCAAAATACAGTTCCATATTAATTTCCTAGGTTCTTTCTCTTTCCTCATTAAAAACTTAAAGAGGCTTGAGTTCCTGATATGAATTCCCCTTTCTCTTCTTAAACTGATAATTATGGGGGAGCAGTGGTTCTGTAATAGTCTGCTGTGAAGTCATGTGCAGATGGTACATAGAGGTAGCCCGGGGGATGTTTGAAGGTAGTGAATACCAGGTCAGCAGAGTGGAAGAGGAATATGGCTGCTTGTAAAAGGGGTTGTCTGGATGGTTGCATTCAAAGAGTTACTGTCAGTAGCTCAGTATCCAAGAGGAGACAGTGGGATTTAGTGCACTCACAGAAAGTTTGCCATCGACACTGAGCTGTGTGATTCTGTTGAAGCACTGGAGATTTATTTTCTTGTAGTTTTGTATAATGACGTAACTACAACTGCCCTTTAAGAATAAATACCATGTTTGGTGTCAAGAGTAGATGTACATTTTAGGTTGAGATAATGTCAGTGTCTGATCTGTGGTGTACTGTTGCTTTGAAACAGAATGAATTGCAACAGATAAGACTAGTTTTATGCCATCAAAGTAACTATGCTGATAAATTTTTCTGCAAGGTTTTGTGGTAGACTAAGCAAATTGCACTTGAAGGTCATGAAATTCAGGAGGTCCAAGTTAGATTTCTGTTTGGAACTTGAAAGTAGATGAAGCAGTGCAAGCAAGCAAAATCATTCCTCTGTTGTACTTTGTCATGTCATTGATCTTAGTTTAGTTGGTAATTGCTTTTAATGCACTGAAGATTCCCTCATATTTTTTCCTTCAGTCTTATATAGTGTTCAGTATTACATTGTTCATCACCCAAAATTTCAGTGATGTTCTTGTGGGGCATTGTAGTGGAGCATCTTATTGAACCAGTATATCATTTCTTCATAGATAATATTTTTAGAAGTTGAAGCTCTCATGTGAAATAAGATAATTTTGTTTTCTCCAATCACAATCACAAAACACTTAGCAATTTTAAAAATGTCTTGAAACCAATAGATATTATGGCTTTGATTTCAGAACAAGCTTTTACAATGTTAAAGGGACAATGCAAGTTTAAAATTTTTGTTACAGTAAAATAGTTTACCTTTTACTGTGGGTTGACATTTCAATCCTGTAGGAATGTGCTTTGTAGTTTTGTTACATTCTGCAAATGTTCTGAGGGTGAAAGGATCAATGAGAAGGATCAGTCCCTTTTCAGAGTCCCCTGATCAGTCTGGCCTCTGGTTCCTGCACAAGAGAACAATGTTGCAGTGCTCATGTTCCTGGTACAACAGAAGAAAGGTTAACAGGGTGCAAAATTTCTTGGTAAGAAAAAATAAAAGCTGTTTTGCTGAAGTGTGTGAAACAAGCTGACATGAAAATGTACCCAGGTTTTATCAGCCCTTCTCGACTTCAAATATACCTACAAATAGACCTTCTAGTTTTACTATAGTGAGTGAGTGCTCTTGGCCTCAGATTTGTATACTACATGACATGTCTGGAGGAGTTATAAGCTCTTGAAATGGGATTGGTTTGCTGTTTGTTCTGTGTGTATGTGTTGAGGGGTGTAGGTAATTGCACATTGACCTTTTGATATAGCAGCCCTAACAATTGCTGCTATAATAATCATCCTCCTTTCAATTCCATGGGAGAATGAAAACTGCAGTTCTACAGATTGTTTCTAATTTTATGTATGAGCTTGTTCAGAGCCATCTATCATTGAAGAACATGCTGTCTCCTCATTGTGGCTTTTAAAAAGTCTGTAGCATGCCGACTGTATTTGATGACATATGATGCTGGATGCAGGCAGATCAAGCCGTGTGCATCCTGGCTTCAGCCAGATTGAGTTGTTTTACTCCTCTGCCCACGATGAGAGGTGGTGGTGAGCACTGCTGCTTTTCCAAGTGATGGTGAGTAATGGCCCTGCCCTCAGTGCTGGCCAGGTATGGAGTGGAGCTTCCTTCTGTAATAATTGTTCCCTGCAACCTTCTTTAAAGCACTGTGGTGACTGGTGATTAATGAGCTCCTACTGATATGATGTGGCTTGATGTTGCTCAAAGGTATGGTATTACCTTTAGGGGCATAGATGTCTTTGAGAACAGTTCTTGACTTGACAAAGATCTGCTTTGGTTTGATTTTGGTTGGCTTGAGGTTTTTCACTTGTTTGGGTTTTGAGTTTGGAGTAAGGAGAGAGTGTGTTCTGATTGTCTGTGGTGACAAGAGAAGTCAATGTCCTTATGTGACGCTAATTCAAGAAATACCTTTTATCCACATAGCAGGTTTAGTGTTCTGGCACTGTGCCTAAATTAATGAGCTGGTTTCTGTTGGCGGTGTATAATCTCAGTCAGACAAATCCAGAGCTTCTGGAAAAGCCCATATCCAAGTAATAGTCCCATGGCTTTTCTGTAAATGTTAATGG